AGAAGACAGAAGTACCACCTTATTTGGTTCTTAAAAAGTTAATGACAAATACATAGTCTTCCAACATTTTATTACATCCTACAACTTGGCCTCAATAGCAAAAGTTTAAGAAATTAGAAGTGATAATTTTAGCATTTGAATAAGTAAAGCTTAGAAACTAGCAGACAATGCCTTACCCCATCTGAAGCAGAAATTATGGCCTGAAGGTTTGGAATTGAATCAGCACTTTCTATTTTAGGGATAATGTGTATATCTGCATGGCAACCTTATTGACAGCAGAGTTGAAGAAATGAAACAAAATAAGATTGCCATGAATTAGTGAACAGACACAATATAAGTATAGCAGTGTTCGAGGTTTACTTCTGAGAAATTCTTTTAATTCATGTATCACTTTTGCATCTTTAACGAATGAAACTGCAAAGAAATCAACTTCGTTGTCCACACCAAACTTAATATCTTCCCAATCCTTTTCTGCATGAACACCAGTACTGTTAGGAAATATTTATCAGACACCATAACCAGTAAAAAGAAATTCAACAAGAAGAAATTTCTAAATATTTTAAAAAAGAAGAAAATTGAAAACCTGTAATGGATGGAAGAGTAGCACTTTTGCCGCGCACATTTAAGTGTCGCCTTGATTTTAGTTCTCCACCATCAATTGCTGTGCACTTGACTGTATCAGGCGTCTTGGCCCTTACAGCTAGTGACATCATCCCTCCTACCAGAATGTCAAGAATCATGTAAAGTTAGCAACATTGCATCAGAAGCTTGTGTACATTCATATTTATGTTAGACAGGTATAGCATGAAGTGTGATCATGAACAATGATAAAAGAAGCTACCCCTGAAGATGTATGAGACTATGACCAATCCTTCTGGTGCTGCATTTTTTATCCAAAAGTTATCAGGATCACAGCTAAAAAGTAAAGAAAATAAAGATCTAACTGTACATCATTCCTTGCACGCACAATGTTTTGTTGATTGCACAAAAGAAAAGATAATGTTAGTGATCACTCTGATATCATTTTCTTGGTTTTCCTCCTAAACATGACTTGACAACAATTAATTCGCCAATTTTTTTACAGACAGATTTTCATTCTTTCAATAGCAGCATGTTACTTCTCACACTAGCCACATAACAAAATTACCACTAAGTTTATTCTTATCAGGTTAGACAAGTTTGATAAATAGAATCAATCGGCTTATTCATCATTATGCGAACAATTTAGACAAGTTCCAGATTACTAATGAATTTAGCATAAGAGACGGAAGAAAATTAGTGTTGATAAAAATCTGCTCTCACCATCAACCAAGAGAACATCTCCAACTTCCACATCATTCACAAAGTCATCATAATTCACACTCACAGTGTCTTCAGAGCTAACTCCTCTTTTGATAGTAAAGTTGAATTCCTGACCTTCCTTGAGCAAGATAGGTTGTGGCAAATCTCCACTTCTTACCTCAGGACCCTGCACGAGAAAAATATGGTCATGAGGGTTGGGGAATGAAGTTGAGGATCCCAAACTTGCAACTTTTGTTCATGCATTGTTGAAGTATGTCACATGCATGATGTGGGCTTAAAACACAGACATCAATTTGGTTATCCAAATATTAGCAAAAATGTAGTGCCCATGACAGTGGTTCCACACCATCTTAGATCAGCCAACCTTTTGCTGAGGCAATCCAATAGAAGTGATGGTCATAATCTATATGGAAGTGCCCATGTGAAGCAACCAAATGGCAATGTTGCCTATGAGCTATGTATATATATGCTAGTATGAGGCAGTCAACCCCTGCCCATTCCCAAGTGGAGGGCATTGTGGGTGTTTAGAGCTATTCATACAGGAGTCATTATGCCAATCTGAATCCTACATGATTGAATTCCCAAATAGGATTGATGATAGTTACACCAAAAAAAAAAAAACAGAAAGTTTGTCACAAAGTGTCAATGGTATCCCCCCATTCAAAAGCATGATCCTGGGATACAACAACCTAGTTTAAATGAGATTGCTAATAAATATCTTGATGATGATGTAAAGCCACCATCAGATCAAATCATTCAAGAAGCCACGGAGTCTATACAGTGTGACCCTCGTATGGAACAACTTGTTTAGCCCTATCAGGATGAACATCATAAATTTCTATTATAATTAAAAAATCATCTTCCACAAGCTTGTTGCTACAATAATATTGAATTTACGATGCATGGTACAAACAGGGTACCAGGGTAGACAGTGATGAATAATATTGGAGAGTTGTTACGTAGCCCAGTTTTGAATTGATGATACCAATTTCAAAAAGGTTGGTGAAGGATTAATGGAACATGAGCTCATCTTTTCTGAAAACCAGATGCAGCCTACTGCATTAACCTAATGGTGGATACTAATGACAGCCTATTGCTTAAAATGATAATGGCAAAGGCACAAAGCAACATTGTTTCATTTATAATCATCACTGCGGTGCTTGCATTGATGAAGAGATTCTTGGAAGAGAATGGTTGATACAATTCTTTTACAAAACAACAGTGTTTCATTTTATAATCATCACCGTGACACATAGTATTTTAAACATAGTCTCGATTATATTTGTTAATGTGATCATATTACAAAACAAGAAAGCGAAAGAATGAATGGTTGATACAATTTGGAATGAAGCACATAAAGTATGTTTGAGAAACATATCAATGAAACATTTACTAAAACAAGACATCAAATACTCAAAGAGATGTTTGTGATTATACATTGTACCTTGGTGTCCAGCATTACAGCAATAACATTGTCTTTGTGTTGGTAATTGTATTCCTTAACCAAATCAATGATCTTCTGGTGCGACTCATGATCACCATGAGACATATTAAGCCGTGCAACATTCATTCCCTCCTCTGCTAATTTCCAGATCATTTCACGTGTGTTCGTCGAAGGACCAACTGTACATACTATCTTTGTCTTCCTGTGAAAATCAGGTGGTAGCCTTGTTTCCCCAATTGGAACACTCAACTGGAACTCGTGCAATGCATTTAGCTTGTCCTGAAGAAATTGTAGACCCAATTTCGTCAGAAATAAGGATAGAGGCTATTAATTTAAACTAGATGTCTCTAAAATACTTCTTGCACAAACCATCAGTTAACAGGTCACAACCACCTATTTACGTCCGTAACCATCAAAGGGCAGTCAATACAAAGAATCCTTATAATACGAATGCATAAGCTATCCAAAAAGACAACTTGTGCAAACAAAAAGAACATCTAGCAAGCTTGAACCAGCTGAAAAGTGATCGAGCTGGAGCATGGAGCTTCAAATTAGAGGATCCAACTGTTCCACTCAGTCCTCCCTCTTCACGGATCGGTGAGTGGCATAGCTGCGAAGGCCCCATCCCAACCTTCCAAACCCTAGCTTGTTGCGTCTCCGATTCCCGAATGAAAACCACAAATGCCACTCACAATCAACCAAACACTTCCAAAGCAGACCGAAATCGACAATAGGGAGTCAAGAACTCACCGAGCAGACAGGAGCGCCGATCTCCTCGGTAAGGTCGTCCCGCCTCTCCGCTGCCCTCATCGATCTCACGGAGAGCCCGACGGTAGCGTTCAGCCTGGCCCCTCGCCGTCCCCTTCCATTTTTATGGAACGTCCGGCCGACGCACCGCGATGAGGCCAGGCCGCCGATCTCCGTCATCGTTGCCATTATAGTCGAAAGGGAGATGACGGGAGAGGAGTCGCTTCTGCCCTTTCGAACAACGACGCGACGGCACCTCTTTCGTGGGGTTGCAGCTCAAAGATATTTATAGCGTGTCACCGCCGAGGCGCCCTACTTCGTTGGTACAGAGCGGTAAACAAATATGAACGGCGACAAAATAACGAACGACAACGGAAAAAATGAGAACAGTACAAATGGACGGTCGAGATGACCAAACGTGTTTAAATACGGTGTCAAGTCCTACTCGCATTGGACCCCACTGACCAGTGTTTTCTAAGTGGCTCTTCATGTTTCTTTTTGTGCTATTCTCACGGCTCTTTCTTGTCTTCTTTTTCTTTTTTTTTCAAATTGCATCTTTTATTTGTTATAATCCTAAAATGTTTCACGATTGTAATTCTGGTTTTTATAGAGTATTATTTTCGGATCAATTCAGCCTGTGGACCAATTCACCAGAAAGGTTGAATTTATGTTGTGGCTTGTCAGAGATATTTTGAGGAACATGGCAAAAAATATCCAAATTATCTCTTAAAATTTTTGTGTAAGTTGTAGTGTTTTGATCTGTTATATTATTTTATAAGTATTTTGATTATCTACTTGAAAACATTATAAATGATCTAAATAGGTTATTAACCTCAACCAAACTAACTTTAAACCTAAAAATATAATATTTTAATGATCTATAAGCAATAACAATCCAAGAACATAATATAATGTTATTTGTAGTATTTTCAATACATCAATAAAATACTATAAATGATATTATAAATATTATAAATAATTAAAATAAAAATACCAGTTGAAAATTTTAATAAAAACATTTGAGGGATATTTTAGATATTTTTAAATTAAATATATTTATTTTAAAAATCAAAACAAGTAATTATCATATATATATATATATTTTATACTTATAGATATAATTTGATGTACAGTTACTGTATTTATTGTCACTATCACTGTCGCTATCAACGTCAACAATACTAACTATATATATATATATATAGTTAGTATTATTGACGATGATTGTGACAGTGATAATGACAATAAATACAGTAACTGTACACCAAATTATATCTATAAGTAAAAATTATTTATTATATATTTTGTGTCGTAGATATGCAATCGAATTAATTGACGCATCGAACCAAAGACGCGTGTTTCATTTACACTGGCCCGGGACAACAATATTTTTCCTCTTTTTTTGTTTTTTAGAATTTACAAGATAATTTTGGAAGGTATTTGTGGATAGATTCGGCACGTCACGAAGTATCTAAAAATGAATGTTGGGTTGGCAGCGGAACAGAATGTCCAAAAGTGAGAGGGGTAGAACGATAACTTTGCCGTCGGCGGTTTCGTTATTCCTTCATTATTTCCTCAGTGATTTGTTTATTAGCGTCCGCTGTTTCTGCGCTCTTCCCGAATTAAAGGCAGCCTTTTGTCATCGTCATTGTTCGTGTTCGATTACAGTATCTGCTTGCCTTTAGTACTGAAAAGTTGTGAGTTAAGCACTTTCCTTTTTGTTTTCTTTTCCTTAAATTGGGGATTAAGGAGATTCGTTTGTTGACTGCATACAACCATTTTTGTTGATATAAAGAATTGGGGAGGCAGCGTCTCAGATTTTTGGGTGGCGAAAGACTGTGATCAGAACCGGCCGAGGAAATATCTGCCTGTTTTTTCCAGGTGAGATCTCACTTTGTCTCTGGTCGACACGGATTTAGCTGCTGTAGGTCGTCTAAATCATTTCGAATTTATTCGAATCGATCGTACCATATTCAGATTACTGGCGCTGTTTCTCTTTCTTCGGCATCCAATTGTCTCATTACTTTGAATACATCGCTGTAAACTATTTGTTTCATTTTTTTATTTTTCATCGGGGAATTCGAAGGTCTCGCGTCTTTGGTACTCCTTAATGTGTCAGATAGACGGGGCAGCCGGTCGTCCCGATTTCAACTTTAAAAGGCAGGTTTTTTGGAGTAAATTTTTAGCAAAGGAAGAATCAAGGTGTTATTTTCTTTTTTTTTTTCCCCAAAAGAGAGACATAATCTGAATTGTTTTGGTGAAATTTGGTTATTTTCCTTTATTTTTTGGTAAAATAAGCTGGTCAAGAAATTGTTTCACATAATTTTTAAGCTCGGCGGACTCCATTTGTTCGATGTAATGTGGCCGATGTACTTCTTCACATGTTGCCATTATGTAGCCAAGAGAGAAGGAGAAAAGGAACATCCCTTCTTCTGATAAACTATTACAGCAAAGGTAGTCTGATCCCGGCTGCATTGTTGGCCAAGAAGTTCTGCTTTTAGACCCTGTCATGGGTTTGATCCCGCTGGATTGTAACTTGTCCTTCCTTGGGTAGAAAAGATTATATTCTAAAATCTGATTTAGCAGCTCGGTTTTTGAAGATTTCTCATTTACTCTCTACTCCTTTTTTGCTCTTAAGCTTGATTGTCAGTGGCAATCTAAGAATTTCTCTTTCAGTTTCAAGCACCAGAGTAAAATATTTCATTCTCATTTTCTAGCATGTAAAAGAAACTTTTTCTAATTAATGGTTAAGTAGCTGAATTAGTGACCATGAAGTTCTTAGATTCAGATAGTAGTTTGCCTTTTCCTGATATGTTGGGTTCAAGAGGAAAAGGGCACACAGTTTTCTGGTTGTTTGATGTCAATTTCAATTACTTTTTATTTAGACTTGGGAATTTTTTTGGTTTATTCAGCAGAGACCTAGTCAAAAGTCTATTATTTGAATATATTTCATAGGACTGAATTCTTCAATAACAAATCAAAAGTTCATTGTTTGATGCTACTGTCTTTTCTAAACATATAACTGTTATATGATATCTAATGAAATTATTATATATTACTACACTGTAACTTTATCACTTTCAGTTCAGAATTAGTAGATTTTATTGTAAATCCAGGATCTGCTGCTAGATTTCAGTTCTACCATATTTTTCTTTCATATTATTTGATACATATATCTTTTTCCTTTTTTATTTAAATATTTGCCGTTGAATCTATGTTTTATATTTTTCAGAATCCTTGTTGAAGTAATCATGAGAGACTAGTTACTTTGTGTTTTTGTGTCCTTTCCTTTTTGCAGGATGTTATATGCTAACTTTTACACATGGGCTTATGCTCTTATTTTATTGATACTCCTGAAAGCAGAAGCAAACTTTGTAGATATTACATATGTTGAAAGTGCTATACCCAAAGGTGCAGGTGCGATTTCGTTACCGAGAATTGGTTTTCTACCTTCATTTTCTGGATATTCCGGATGACTCAATCTGTCCTTTTAATTATTGAAACTGGGCACCTAGATGCAATAAGTTTATGGATGTGATATTATTTTGCAGTTTGTTTGGATGGAAGCCCTCCAGCTTATCATCTATCCCCAGGTTTTGGATCAGGTGTCAATAATTGGTTGGTCCATCTTGAGGTATACTATATCCCATTGCCATTGCTGGCAAAGTTTGGCTAATATTTGTAATACTACTAGGTTATGGAGATTCATATGGTTAGCATTATTTCCTTTGCGCTCTTAATTTAAAGCAACAATTGACTCTTCGCCAATAATTTATACAAGTTCATAGGACATATTACTTCCTTTTTGACCACTTATGTGCAAATTTATGCTTGCTTATCAGTAATGTTCTTTGTGCCTGAACCTGCCTAGGGTTTTCATTTTATTTTCAGGGAGGAGGGTGGTGCAACAACATAACAACTTGTCTAGCTCGAAAGAACACCCGTTTAGGTTCTTCCGGACAAATGGCAAAACAGCTTGCCTTTTCAGGGATCTTAAGCAATACCCAATCATTTAATCCAGGTATAGCACAAAGCTTTTGTACGAAAATTTTAATTGTCTTTCCTCCATGAACTGTGCCTTGGTCAGGTGGCTGCTCTTTTCATCTTGAAGAGGTTCTGGGTTCAGGTACTTGTAGAGGTGGCACCCAAGTCCTAGTTAATTCTTAGGAGGGGATGATCCCCTTTATTACTCAGAAAAGAATGCTTTTTCTTTATTATTTAATTCTCTCACCAAATAAGTAACGACGAAGCTATTTTGTTATTCAAGATTAGCAAGATTTTTGTTTTTCCTGAGCAAAAGCATCGGTGCTGACCAATTTTCAAGTAAATTTGAAAATACAGTTTCTGTGAACTTGAAATAATTTTGCTTGGCCATGAGTTTGGGTCTACCTTCACCTTATTGTATAAAGCACAATAAATCTTAGTTTTACTGATTCATGTAATCCCTTGCCAACTTTTCTTTACTTTAACATGTAAGTTGAATCAAGAATATTCACTGGTCGACTGGCTGGTTTTTCCAGCATATTCAATATTCAAGTCAGTTTCTTGTTTCTAAATAGATGCCACAATCTATTATAAATGTGCAATCCTAGAAAGGGTCATGCTTAAATGTTAAGTTAGTTGTCAGAATCTGCACAAAGACAACTAACTTTTCACTCGTGATGAGTAACTAGTTAGCTGTTCTCTTAGAATAAAAAGATAATAAAATTTGTTCAATCAATTTAAACGGAATTACTTTATGCTCCAATGTCATTCCATGTCAAAATTAAAAGAAGGCCCATAAGGACTTACCAACCCAAGTACGATCAGTAATCACCAATCAAGCTGCTGATTGGCTATGTTGGTTACACTAGAACCTTCACTGAACTTTGTAATAACTGAATATGAGTTGGAACAGGATTATTGTCACTGAAAGCCTCGGGTCATTCTTTTGCAAATAGAAGAGGTACAATGTCTGCAAGACTATATGATTACACATAACTTCGTTCTGCTAATGAATAATTTTCACCTTAAAGACTGTTGTATATATCATGCATGCTTTTTTATCCAACACTCGCAAGATCGAACAATTTATAATCTAAATGCTTTTGCAACATTTGCTGATTGGACCGATGATATCCAGACTTCTACAACTGGAATAAGGTCAAGGTTCGTTACTGCGATGGTTCATCATTCACAGGAGATGTAGAAAGAGTTGATCCTGTGAGTCTGACTGACCTTGCCTCTGCTGCTGCAATAATTTACTTCTGAATATGACTTTTGGGTCTTGTACCGAAACAAGATCGTAAAACTTGGCCCATCACAAAATAATTGTAATTTTTAATGTTGGTTAGGCTACCAATCTTCATTACAGAGGAGCCAGAGTGTGGCTTGCCGTGATGGAAGAACTACTTGCAAGGGGAATGAGCAAGGCAGAAAATGTATGCTTCTAGATGCTAATTTATTGTTCCTATCGATCAGTTACATTCATAACATAGTGGCTGCAGGCTCTTCTTTCTGGCTGTTCAGCTGGAGGATTGGCTTCCATACTCCATTGCGACAGCTTTCGCAACCTTCTTCCAGCAAGTGCCAAGGTTAAATGCCTTTCAGATGCTGGTTATTTCATAAATGTGTAAGCTGTGCACTCTTGTCTTTTTTTTTTCTTTTTTTGCCGAACGGTAAGTGATGAAGGTAGGATGTTATCACGTTACCCTTTTCGTTCAAGATTCTGAGGACATTTAAGTTTTCAGTTATCATTGGCTATATCCAGGATAATTTTTGTTGGTTGTGCTATTGGCAGGAAAGATATTTCCGGAGCTGAACACATCAAGGCCTTCTACAATGATGTGGTGACAACACATGTATTCTTCTTATTGCAAATTACTTGCGATGAGTTCCTATACCTTTATCTGTGCATGACCTTTATTGTTATTCTACATGTCTTTTCAGGATGCAAACTATAGTTATTAGTATCAATGAACTTCAGTCTACGATTAGTTTTGTAACCACTCTTCATTGATACAAGTTTCTGCATTCTTTTCAGGGATCAGCAAAGAACTTGCCTTTATGCACTTCAATGATTGAACCTGGGATGGCAAGTATCGTTAAAATCATTATGCATTGGAGCACTTGCTATGTTTCACTAATGCCTTCAAATATAAATACAGTGTTTTTTCCCACAATACATGGCTCAGGAGATAGAATCACCACTGTTCATTTTAAATGCAGCTTATGACTCATGGCAGGTATGAAAAACATATATTACACCAACTTTTTTTAGATATCTATTTTGCTGGTGAACATGAACCTATATCATTTGTAATTTCAATCTCAATAGAAAGAAATTTTATGTGATCTTGGACGTCTATAAATTTATGATGATATGTTTTGCATGAATGTTTTCACCAAAATCCCTTTCGTTGGACCTTCCTTCTTTTGTAATTTATATACTTCTGTGCTAATGATACTCAGAAGAATGATTGAATATTTTGACATTAGGAATGGGCCTGACATTTCTCTTTTTTCTGTGTTGTTTCATTTAAGTAAGAATTCACTTGACTATGAAGCCTTCCCATTTCAGATAAAGAATATTTTGGTACCGACGGTTGCTGATCGTCATGGTAGTTGGCATAACTGCAAGCTTGATATAAAGCTGTGCTCTTCAGCTCAACTTCAAATAATGCAAGGTTAGTACTCTAATTTCTAGGCTTCCTGTTGGATCATTGTCTCTATGCATATCATACCGGTTGCAACCAATTAGCATTACTTAATGAACTGAAACCCTTTAAGTGTTAGACTAAGGAGATACAATCACCTGCTCGGTTGAACAGCATTAATGACAGAAATACTTTTGCATCACAGAGTTCAGGCTGGAGTTTCTGAATGCAGTGAATGGATTAGGGACCCCATCCTCTAGAGGTCTGTTCATCAATTCATGTTATGCCCACTGCCAATCGGAAATGCAGGAGACATGGTTACTTCCCAATTCTCCTATGCTTGACAAGATAGTAAGTCCCATAAACTTTCCAATTAAGCGACCCATGATCACCATAAATTTTATAGCGTTTCACGACTCATCATTACTTTTAGCTATTTATGCTGTTCTTTTAACTTTGCCATGTCTTTAGTTCCTGTTGTTGAAAATGAAATATTACTCTACTCTTTCTGACCAATTCTGCAATTGTGCAGCCAATTGCAGAGGCAGTCGGAGACTGGTTTTACAACCGAAGCGCCTTCCAGAAGATTGACTGCCCATATCCTTGTGACTCGACTTGCCACAACATTTCTTTACAGGACAACTCAGAAGCATAGCAATTAATTCCTCCTCCATTCATTCTTCTAATTGTCACATTATTTTTGTTGCATCAATCCAAGCTCGCATGAGCAGGAAATAAATAGTGTCTTCCAGAATAAGATTAGTGTCTTGCATTACAGGACAGTTATTCACAATATATATGTACAAGAGTTCAATTTCTCTTGATATTTTACAGATTTAACAAAGGAAACAATACAGGCTTAGCAGATTTTTATTTTCTCAAAATTGAAAGCTGTGCTTTTGTTAGCTTCCTCAGCAGCTTTTACTGCTAGAGTTGGAGAAAACTAGGCAGTAATCTTTCCGGTTCTTATTCCACAACTATGCAATGGAAATTTTGGTACCAAAAGAGGGTTACCCATTGAAAAAGGTTGAATCTGAATAATTTTAAATTTTTAAATGATTTTTTTGATCAATGTTGATATTTAGGAGTTCAATATAATTGATGTGAATAATTCATTTGACTACAAAATTTTAGGTATGTGAATTCTGATTAAGTCATCATTTTACCCTTTGACATTCATGAGGTTTTGATTTCATTATTTCTCGATCAGACTAAACATACTTATTAATTTTTTTACTCAAGAACTTTTAAATATCCAATATAAAAAAAAAAACTTTGTGAAGGTAAAAATGTCATTACCTAAGTTTGATCATCTTTTTCCTTGCAAATATCTTTTAGGATATGTCCTTTCCGCGTAAAAGTTTTTGTATGTAAAAGAATTATCAATTTTTTTATTGCATGTAAAAGATATATATTGTTCAAAATAAACCTTTTTAATGGTAAAATAGTTTAAAAAGCAATTTCATTTTGCAAACACATCAAAATCCGATTAAAAGATTTAATGTTTATTGAAGTTTATTACCAAAAGAAGAGATATATTAAAAGAAACATAACCATATATATTAATTAACTTGAGTTGGGTGTTTGAAACCTTAGACCTCAAAGGCATATATATTTTTAATTTAAAAGTGTTAATTAATTTGACTGATAAAGATTTATCAGTTCATCACGATTGATTGATAAAGACTTTGACAATTCATCGATCCTCCCTCGAATCTCTCTGACTTGAGTTTGACCAAGTAATGCCAATATTACACCACCTAATATTGTGATAACTCTTCGAGCCGTAGTAGTTAGTGGTCCCAATGCCGGTGCTAAACGCTACCTTTGCGACGATCGTTAGCTTCTCGAATCAATCGATCACGAGTCACTGACTTCCAAACCACGGCATCTGTGATCGTCGTAAAAGCCTCTATCAAAAACCAGGAGTCGTTGACTTCCATGAATTTGTCGTGGTACCTAACGTAGTCAATCGTTCTAACATGACAATGTCAACGAACGGTATCTTTCGCCTAATGCTGTCATAAGACCAAATCCTTACCGGCAAACCATCCGAGTAACTCTCGGAGCCTGGATGCAGAATTATGGTGGCTACAAAGTCAACGGAGTCGACGGTTGTAATCGAAGTCTTCTCCCCCGTTGATATTTGAATAGCAACTCTGTTTTTGGTCGTCTCGATTTAGAATTGTTCTCCGCGGATCGATCGTCGGTCACAGCGGGAAGGTTGTCTCGGTACGGCGAATCGGATGCAATGCGATCACGTTGACCGACATCCAGGGGGGCAGAATCAACGGCGTTCGTCGGTCGGGACCGAGTCAAGGTCAAGTCAATGATGATCGCCTGTCTCGGTTCGGCGAACCGCAAGTATTCCCATCACCTCTATGCTTGTCTCGGTACGGCGAATCGCAAATATTCCCATCGCTTGCATACTTTACTTGGTAACGCCCAATCGCAAATGATGCAGTCACGTTGACGGTTGACTTTCATAGAGCTTTTGTTTTGGAGAAGTCAATGGTTAGGGAATCAGAAGGTGGGACCCACGGGCACAAGAAAGTCAAGCCATGGTCCACAGGCGATGTCGGCCGCATGAGAGCCACCCGATTTCTGCTTCCTCCACACAGAACTGAACTCAAGACTCCAAGAACAAATTTGGATTGTTCGAGGGCTTCGTCTTTGATTATTATTCACCATCTCAAGATGACAGGGAAGCATTCCATTAGGGTTTGATATGATTATGTTGTGTGTGGACTTTGTGGAGGCATTGCATCCAAAAACATCATTTGAGGATAAAAAATAATTTTAAAGTCATAAATATTTATGATATGTGTCTCATAATATTATGGTCCTTTCATGTTCTTAATGTAATTTCTTTCATCTTTACCAGCAAACGAAAGGATTCATCATATAGGTTATACCATAAAGATAAGCATAAGTTTCATTTTTGGTGCTTATACTATACAAGAGCTCTAAATTATGGCAATGGACGAGAAAGAAATTTCTACTCCACTCACCCTAATCATTGAACCAAACAATCAATTTTATCCCATTTTTTTACCATAAATTTAATGCATTAAATAATTTTATCGTATTATTTCATATTCTTAATGTTATTTCTTTGTTCTTTACCAGTAAGCACACAGGGATTCATGTAGGTTACACCATAAAGAAGTTATGGGCATAAGTAAGTTCCATTTTTGGTGCTTATACTATAGAAGAGCTCTAAATTATGGGAATGGATAAGAAAGTAATTTCCACTCAACTCACTCAAATCATTGAACTAAACAACCAATTTTATCCCTTTTTTTAACCATTATTTTGATGCACTACATAACAAATTTAAGAACATCTCACTTCTTCAAAAAATATATCGTAATATCCCCACACAATCAAAAATGTCCCCACGCAATCAAAAAGAATAATAGGAACTCTACAAAAAAATATATATATATATTTTGTAAATGGAGAAAACTTAAGACAATCGGTGGAAAATTTTAAAAAGAAAATATTTTTATAAAAAATAAAAAATAAAAACTCTTACGATTGAATATTTTTGTTGACTTGTATCGATCATCTTAACGAGATATAAAAAAATAAAGTTATCTTATAGAGGGAGAGAATACTTCAAAATCAACGATAATGAGTAATGAACGTAATTAAAGGTCAATATTTAGATTAATTCAACACTCGTTATCAATATTTTATATATAAAAAAATATTTATCAAAATATTGAAAATCATAATGTATGAATAAATTCTAATTCACTAATAACTTCTATTCATATTTAATTTTAATCCTAATTATAATCTCAATTCTAGAAAAATAAAAAAAAATATTTATCAAAATATTGAAAATCATAATGTATGAATAAATTCTAATTCACTAATAACTTCTATTCATATTTAATTCTAATCTCAATTCTAGAAAAATAAAAAAAATTATTTATCAAAATATTGAAAATCATAATGTATGAATAAATTCTAATTCACTAATAACTTCTATTCATATTTAATTTTAATCCTAATTCTAATCTCAATTCTAGAAAAATAAAATTCCAATTGAATAAGCGACTACTTTGACTCGTCCCGATGTTGGTGACGATGCAAACGAATAAGCGGCGGAGGCAGAGAGACGTATTCCACACAACCACATCCACCTTCGTTAACACACGTCCTGCTTTCGCTGGCGGTGTGAGTACTCCGCGTTATCCCAACAAGTCAAGTACCATAAATTTCTACTGCTGTGCTGCTGCTATCACGAGCTTTAGGGACGGGGACACGTCAATGTACCATCCATTTCCCTTCCCTGGATGTGATTGCTACCTCTCGTCTCATACCCTGTCAACGTTGTGTAAGAGTTGGCTTCTGGATGCAATCCTTTGCTGGAAATATTGCGAGGGTTTTAAGTTTCTGAGATTATTATTATAAAAATAATTAATTTAATTCGAGGGTGGATCTCAAAATCTAATTTATCTAATCAAAATAATATAACATGAACGATTTATATGATACTCGTTCTTCTTCGTTTGACATGGCTGCTGGCGAGTATAAAGAGTGATGGGTGAGGTGGTGATTAGATTTGCACTTCCAAAACGTGCAAGTCATCGCTCACAAAAGACGTGGGTCCCGCTCCCCCAAAAGAAAATTCTTCATGCCGTCGATTTAGATTGGACTTCGCCAAATTTGCTTTTGATGATGCATCATCATAAGAGGAAAAGTTCAAAAAGAGCCAAAGAAAAGGAAGTGTGTGAGAGAGAAACATTGTTCACGATCTAACACGTCTATTTTTCGAGCTCCAAAAAAAGAAAAAGAGTTTTTTTTTATTTTCCTATATATTTAATTAAAATGGGGACATGAAATGATGGTTTTATATTATAATATATCTTTATCTCATGATCTGTATTGCATGATGTTAGTGATCGTCATTGTGTTAATCAAATTTAATTTTAAATTAATTTAAATTTTTAATCGTGTCCAACATCTTGATCACCAAAGATGACATCGAGTATTCTACACAAAGATCAAAATCAAAAAAGAATTCTCATTGCTCCTAAAGTGAAATTAAAATATGAAAAAAGAAAGAAAAAAATATGATTCATGAATCATGCCGATGTTCACATTTTATAATTAAACCTCTCCTAGTCACTTCCGTTTCCACGTAATAGATTTGGATTCTACTGATGCGATAGAAAATATTCATGAAAATATTCTCTATATGTTAGTCATGGATGTGAAAAATATTCTCTATATGGAATTATTTTCCACGGGCCATAAATGTTTAAAATCAAAGCTAATAATTATATATCTGCCAAAATCTGATAAAGTAATTCAAACGTTAGGACACGCCATGAGGATGTCACATTAGAAAAGCTTGGTTTCATAATCCTTGTAGATGAAGAATTAGATATCACTCAATTCTTTTGTTTATTTCATAGCTTTCTCGCTCTCGATAGATTCTCTTCTCTCTCTTTGTGAGTAAGGCTAAAGGCTCTTAGGTTTCGTTTACAGAACTTAATAATCTAAGTTATAATAGAATTCAACTTCAAAGAAATGAAGAATCCAAACTCCCAACTAAGTATAAACGTGTAAATTAGCTCAGACTCTTAACTCCTATCAGAATTCAAATGACACCTCCGACGCATACCATTATTCAAGTCAAAAAACGAATGACACGCCAACGGTCCGGATGGTTTCGATGCACACCTGAACGATCGATAGGGCATTCGAAGATACGTGGCAGGGAAGGTGTCCAATTGTCCTTGCAGATGCCCATGCCACGCCGGCATGTCCATGGTCAATTGCAGTGGCTAACCAGCATTGTCAAACGAAGTTGCACCGAGAAATAGACATGATGTGTTGCATTGATACGGACATGTAATGCTCCGTCTGTCATGGATAAAGACGTCTCGGAAACCCACACACCATGCTGAGTTATATTACCTTTCAACCAAAGTGTTCTTTAATTCTTACTTGTGACGATTAATTGACTTTTAACATTTGTTCTATGCCGAGAAATTTATTGTGGATGAAGAAAGCGTTCATGCCTCGTAACACTTGCGTCTCGTCATCTTGTTATGACGTGTTATCCGTGTTGATTCTATATATTTTGATTTTATCATTAAGGATTCTAAAATCTTAAACAGTGCAAAAAAATATTATTTTTTATTATTATCATAAATACCGAAGGTGTCTTATCGATTATTATTTTTTGATAGTAAAACATAGATTTCTCGAAGAACACGAGATGAGATGTAAAGGGACAATAGATTTTACGACACATTCGATTGTTAGATGTAATAACGTTCGGAAAACGGTCGTCATATCGAGTTAGGAATCATTTCCAACACAACACCACTTAATATCGAATCGAGTAAACCGTGTCATGCCATTTTAGATACTTACCGAGCGAGGGCTATCAAAGATGGAGGAGGCGTGCATTCCCAAATTTAGCAATCATGACCACGTGGCAGAGCCACGCTGCGCAAACACGAACACAAACTTCTATAAAAGAAATATATAATGGATTACTGATCGTTTTGGGAAGTCGATCGAATAGCAAAGTATGCAAATAACATGCTTCATGCAACGATGCAATATTAATTTTCTTGCGACGCTGTAGATGTTAAACACGTCACGTCCAAAGGAATCGTTTCCTTATTATTATATTCTTCTTGTGTAGAGATTTTGACTTTCTCTCTGCTGGTATTTTATATGGCTGGCTACGAAGGAGAGAAGGCATGTGCAAGTCAAACTTGGGATTTGGTGCGACACTTGCCATTTTCCAAGCCGACATAATCTATCTATCATCCCTCCCCTTTTCTCTTCCTCGCTTGGCTGCTTCCCCTTCTCCCTGTAGACTGTGATGATGCATGTTGGCTGGAATCGATTTCCGTGGGTGCATAAGTTGTATTGGTTACTCTATAAATACTCGCCCCTCCTTCACTCTCCGAGCCAGCACACACTGACACACAACAAACCTTTTACGAGGACAAGGGACACCTCTTCCTGTCTTGTTCCTCCAGCAGCTCCTCCCCCTGCCACACCACCCCCTCCCCAATCTGCACCATCATCCACAGCTGGCTTGCTAGCTAGCTCGCATAATGGATCCCGCTTCCGCCGCTATGTATCCGTCCTCTGCAGCCGTGATCACCTCCACGCTTCTCGTCATGCTGTCCCTCATCTTCTGCTTCTTCCTTTTCCTCTACCTCCTCTGCTCCCTCCTCCCGAGGGCCTTCGCCGCCGGGCGAGCAGCGCCCCGTAAGCTGCCCCTGCCTCCCGGCTCCATGGGCTGGCCTTACGTCGGTGAGACTTTCCAGCTCTACTCCAACAATCCCGACACCTTCTTCGCCCTCAAACAGAAGAGGTCCGTCCGGTCATGTCCCGTTTCCTTCCTCCCTCGTGTTGTTGTCACTTCATGGAGTTGGTCGGCGGTCACACTTGCTTCTTTTTGCAGGTACGGGGCGATATTTAAGACCCACATCCTGGGGTGTCCTTGCGTGATGGTGTCCAGCCCTGAGGCGGCGAGGTTCGTGCTGGTGACGCGGGCGCACCTGTTCAAGCCGACGTTTCCCGCGAGCAAGGAGCGGATGCTGGGTCGCCAGGCCGTCTTCTTCCAGCAGGGCGACTACCACGCCCGGCTCCGCCGCCTCATCCTCCGGGCGTTCTTGCCCGAAGCCATCCGCCGCTCCGTCGCCCGCATCGAGGCGGTCGCCCTCCGGACCTTGCAGTCGTGGGACGGCCGTCTCGTCAATACCTTCCAGGAAATGAAGACGGTAAGCTTCTCGATTCGACTCGCCAAGTCGAACTCGTAAGACCATATGTTGTTGTTGCTGCTGCTGCTAAATTTGTTTGCCCTGCTTCCGCGCAGTACGCATTCAATGTGGCGATCGTATCCATCTTCGGGAAGGACGAGCTCTCCTACTTGGAGGAACTGAAACAATGCTACTACACCCTCGAGAAGGGCTACAACTCCATGCCCATCAACTTGCCCGGGACGCTCTTCTTCAGCGCGATGAAGGCCAGGAAGCAGCTGGCCCACATCGTGGCCAAGATCGTGTCCTCCAGGAGGATGCAGAGGACAAACGAGGCCAATAATGACCTGCTCGGTTCTTTCATGGAAGCCAAAGAAGCGCTCTCCGACGACCAGATTGCAGACAACATGATCGGCGTCATCTTTGCTGCCCGAGACACCACCGCCAGTGTGCTCACCTGGATCGTGAAGTACCTGGGAGACAACCCCAGCATCTTACAAGCGGTCACGGTAAGACACCTCTCTTCTCCTTCGATTCCGCCTTCTTCGACACGGATAAGAGAAGCGATTTAGGTGTCGGATCGATGAATGTTCTGCCAGGAAGAGCAAGAGGAAGTAATGAAGAAGAAAGAAGCAGGCGACGAGGAGAAGTCCCTAACATGGGCCGACACCAAGCGGATGCCGTTGACTTTGAGGGTGATTCAGGAGACCATGAGAGTGGCCTCCATCTTATCCTTCACCTTCAGAGAAGCGGTGGAAGATGTGGAGTACGAAGGTGAGTTGGCATCTTCTCTTCCACCATGCTCCCATACGCATCGCTTTCGCATGGTCTCAATCTGTACTTCGTTGAGCAGGGTATCTGATTCCCAAGGGATGGAAGGTGTTGCCACTCTTCAGAAACATTCACCACAGCCCGGAAAACTTCAGCGACCCAGAAAAGTTCGATCCCTCCAGATTCGAGGTAGGAAACGGAGGACAGCTCTCCCCTGTCTCGATCGACCTACAGACGAATAATAATTCTCTTGCTCTGGTCAACTGCTGCAGGCGTCTCCCAAGCCCAACACCTTCCTGCCATTTGGAAACGGGACCCATGCCTGCCCTGGAAATGAGCTAGCGAAGCTGGAGATGCTGGTCCTCCTCCATCACCTCATCACCAAATACAGGTAAACCCACCAAAACCATCAAACGAGCACTTGTTTTCCCTCCCCGGAAGACGAATGTTCACGGTCGATGCCGATGTTTTATGCTGTCCATCATCAGGTGGTCTATGTCGGGTTACGAGAGCGGAATCCAATTTGGACCTTTTGCGCTGCCATTGAATGGCCTACCCCTGCGATTCTCTCTCAAGTCACCAGTGGAGGACCGAGCTGCTTGAGCTTTCTCCGTGGTGTCGCATGCCGTTTCCAGAGTCTGGACGACATGGTTGAGCTCAAGGAACAGGCCATGCTATCAAGACTGCTGCAGGTGAAGAAACCAGCAAGGAAACACCACCTTTGTTCTTGTGTTTGGAGGGGGTTGACATCTCCACTGGAGTGTATTATTATTATTATTATTATTATTGTCTTATGCTTCTTTAATTTGAACGAGTGGTCAAGCAATCAAAAGTGTTGCACCATCGAATGTTTAATATGTACTACAGATTAATAATAATAATTCAGCTACTTACTGCAAATGGTTACTCGACTTTGGTCTGCTTTGCACGTCGCTCCCCCATCATCACTGCACCCCACTCGTGTGGCAATCGAAGATTAAATGTAAATATTTTATACGATCTACTGAAAGGGTCTTTTTCTTTATTTATTATTATCTAATTATTATTTATTATATTAAATAATTTATTATTATACGACAACGTTTATATGTGGACTCGACTCGAATCAAATTTAAGATCGATCAGTACCTGCGAGTCTTTAATGACAACGTTGTTTGTGTACTATGAGAATTAAAATCTAAAATTATATGAATAAAGCTCATGTTCTCAAGTACCATAAACTAATACCATTTAAGCAGCCAAATAAAAATCTAAAAAGGACAGGACGATGATGGAAAAAAAAAAAAGAAAATCTTAGAAGAGAAGGAGTATGAAAATAAAATTAAATTACACTAATTTTGGATTATTTGTAGTTTTGGGGGTTTACTTTCGTAAGCCGAAACTTTCCGATTGGACCTTTATACCTTTGAAAGCGACCGGTCCAGTTTAAAGTCATCTATTTGGGCCGGTTCAATTCCAAAAGAAAGGATTGGACCGGTTGGTTTGAGAGAAAGAGGAATAAACAACAACTCTCTTCTTTCCCTCCCATCTTTCTATATCCTGCTAAAGCATGAGTGTCATCATCATCATCTTCTTCTTCTTCTTCTTCTTGTCGAATGGGTCAAAGAGCAGAAGGATGTAAAAAATGTAATTGAAACAGTAATCTTTTGTTGTTGGATCAGTTTATTTCTCCTTTTCTTCTTATTTTTGTCATACTTTATTTTTTTTTTTGCTTTCTGAATACAAGACAATACGAAGGCCAACTCACTTGGCTAATATCTAGCATTTCTTTCTTTGTTTTGATTTTTAAATAGATGATGATGACAAGTCTTACTGGTCTCCCTCTCCATCAATATGGGCAAAATTGAACATAAAATTTATTATAAATCAAACCCAGCATGCATCACTCGATCCTTTTAATTCTTAATAATATATGACTATCTTAATTGGGATCACGAGAAACACGAAGAAGATCAACTTGCAAATAGTGTGTATTGTAATTCCACAGTCAGCTTTCACTGCGCTAGTGGAAGAAGAACTCTCGTGTGTTTCTCAAAGGAAAGCAGGTAGATGTAGTTTTCTTGACGAGGAGAATGTTAACATCTTTGACTAAAATGATGCAACAACAAACATCAGATCCGTGTCACTCACTAAAATGATGCTGAATGAAATATATTTCATTGGAGTCTCTCTTTCATATTCACGAAAGTCAAATCAAATGAAAGTTGCACCTATCTACCAGTTCTCAAAGTCCAACACATGCAACACGTCTCTCTGCGTTTAGTACGCGTAGATATGATACAGTATCCATGTAGATAACTAAATCCTTGAAATTAGCTTATTAACTACATCATAAGATCCACTATACAACATATTGGATGAGCCATAATAAAATATAAGTATTGTTTAGGTACGTGGTGGTGATGTACTTAATTCAATCCTCAAAGATTAGTCTTGTCTAATAATGATGTACTGATTTACTTCTCTAGAATTGAAGCTTTAAAACTTCGGACTAAATTGTTTTGTTTTTAGTAAGGATCTGAATTGCTCAACAGCAAGGTTAAAAGTGATAGAAAATAATATTTTCCTAACTATACGAGGAAATTTTTCTATTCAGTTGAAGAAAATCCTCTATTCTGTTGAGGAAAATCTTTCCTCCCAATGGAGAGAGATAGCAATATATGCATAAATCCTCAAAGGAACAGCTTAATATATTTAAGCTAAAACTTCTTCGATAAAGCTTCTTCAATAATTATTCTTATCTTCTATTATTTTCATCAAAAAGAACATTAAGTTGTACAAGGGTCGAGTGCTATGTGAGCTCAACAAACGGTTTAGAACATTTACTCCATGTCTAATGCCTCAGTAAGAGGACTAAATGTTGAAGAGAGATAGAACATCAAGAGTTCAACATCTATTACCATATGACAACCGGTCCAAATCATGTTTTAGAGAGGTCACGTGTTGGAAGAACATGACTATGGAGATATTAATCCTAAGGATCACAATTGCATTATCGTATACAACCACGTTGAGCTTACGATAGGCTTCATCCAATAGTTACATCACAACAGCCCTCAAATATATGCATGAGATAGACATAAAATTGACATAAAGTAGTAAGATAACTATGTTTGTGTTTCGAGGAACATGACAAATGTTATTGAATTCTGATTCACTTTGTCGACGTTAAAAGTGGAATGGGTGAGCAAAACGACAATGTCTATTAATTCACGTTGCTTTCTTCCCACCAAAATTTTCATATATCAAATATATTATAGTTTTAATTGGATAATATATATTATAATATTGATTGAATTCTAATTATGATTATAGATTAATAAAAAAATTATTTATAGTAGGATCCTTCATAAGAAGATGATATTGATGGGAGAGATTCTCCTAATCACTTATTTTACATCATGTGTTATATCCTATAAATAGACATGACCTTCTAGTGAATGTATCCGAAATGATTAAGATTACAAATCTATTCTCATTGGTGTTATGAAAGATAGAGAGAATGAGTTTAATTTCTTTTTCTGATCGATGTTACTGCATTCTACCGATTAAACTACAGAGTGCATTCTATAAATCAATAAAGTTGTTACTGCATCTTAGTCTTAATATATTATTATTTGATTTTATATTTTGATATTAAATTTATTTTGTATGATACCATGATTATGATTTTATGTTTACAATTAGTATTTGTTATAAAATACTTTATATCGTAAAAGTTTAAATCTATGTATATTATTATTTTTACTTGCGAGAAGTGATCTGATCTATTTTGTTTATTTTGTCAGTCGTATGAAGATTTCCTCGCTTATACAAATGGTATCATGAACTGCTATTGACGACGTTGTAAACAGTCGCAAACATAGAATCTTGATCGTTGGCGTTGATTCGCTTTAATTTTGGTGATAGCTGAGGGTGCTGTGATAAGTAGTTGCTATTGTGGGCAACGACAAGGGCACATGGTACTCCCACATGTCATATGCGCTGCTACAATCGAAGGTGGCTAAGCTTAGTGGCACAACACCGAAGCGGTGGAAAGCTGCTGCATCCAGCGACTTTGAGGAGGGTGGTGGAAGCGGTCGGCGATAGCAATAGAGGCGTTGTGCAACGAACGACTATGATGTCATGACGATACGGTCTCTCGTCAAAGGCAGCGATTAGTGGTGCGATGGTTGTGCAGGAGGGCAACCACCCTATTGGACGTCGCTGCAATGGTTGTGCCCGATGGTTGTGCATGGTTGCGTGCTGGACGACAATGTTAACAACCACAAGGCTATCGTCAATCCAATAAGGTGGGTGCCCTCGCGATTGGGTGTGTCATCTGGCAGTGCAATGAGAAAGAAAGCTATAAAAGAAAAGGGAGGTATTGCGCATACGTGCATTTAACTAATTGGTCAAATGCTTTTTTTTTATTTTTTTGCCACTTACCTTTAAGTTTAAATCTACTAACAAATCATTAATTGATACATTAATAAAAAAATTAATTAAAGCTCAATATAATAACATTCGAGAGATTTAGGATGATATCTTTAATATGATTGATAAAATTGTGAAACTTAAATTATAAATATGGATGAGGATTTCATCCTCATGCGGTTCATTCTTAATTATCTTTCTCCTTAGTTTGACCCATGCAAAATTTATTAAATATAAATGATGATAAATAAGACTTAAATTAGTTGACTAGTATATATATTCAGAAAGGTTAAGACAAGAAATATCTTGTAATGTTTGGCTACTACCCAATGAGTTAGTAAAAAGTGTATCAACCAAATAAATTTACTAGGTCTAAAAATACAAAGTAGACTAATGAAGAAAACATATGACAAAGCTTGGTTTGAATTTTTTATTTTATAAACTTAACTTTTATATGTTTCAAATCAAATATTACAAAGGTATACTTGATAGATTGATTATGGTACTTCGTTATCAATAATATATAGAGTTTTGTTCAACTTAAAAAATTAGATGGACACAAAAGATTTATCATTAGGGGACTCATCTTAAAATAAAATTGATAATAGTGGGAATTTATCATCCATGTCTAAGGACGGATCATCTAATTGATCTTACGGACATATATTATATTCTCACTATTTTTAGAAATTTAGTTTTTTTATTTAGAATGGATGAATTATGATTATTTTTTAGTGTTGGTAAACTTATTGTGTTTTATAATTTAATAAAAAAATAGTTCTAAAATTTTATATTATGATTTATATATAATTAATTTAAATCTTGAGTTTGCAAAGACACCCTATAATTAAATGTTGCATTCAAACATCATTTCAATAATGAGAAAAAGTAAGTTGTTCCTACTTTTATGTCTACATAAATGAAATTGAGAGATAATTAGATAAAAAAAATAAAATGATCAGATTTAATAGTGATAATAAATTTAACGACAAATATGATGAGTCGGATCTAATAGGATTTTCGAGAGTTTTGTTTGGTAGAAAATGTCAAAAAGGTTTGCTGTGGTGAAACAAAATAAAAACTAAGGGTTTTCCAATAAATAGCTGAAATAATTCTGAATAATAATTTTCGTTTTTTATCCTTTTGGATTGAACATTAAGATTGGGTTAAGAAAAAATATAAAAAGAAAATGATAAAATTTGAAAAAAATCCTTCATTTTAGAAGTTTCCCAATTAGTGTCCTTTGTTTTTCTCAACCGGTGTTTCATTTTTTCGATATTCTTAAAATATCTCTAATATGATAAATATAAAAAAAAAACTCTCAATGCTTGCATTAGATTGGTTCGGTGAACCGATTTATCACTATTTTAATTAAAATATTTTTTGAATAGTACTACAGTACTTATAGTACCTTTAAAAAAAATACTATAAACATATAAAAAAAATATAGTTGTAAGTCTAATACAAACTAACATATCAATCTT